GTCCACATCGGCCTCAAAATGGAAGGCGAGGTGGTCAAACACACCGAGCGCCGCGTCCTCCGCCTCGTCCTCCGCCAGCGCGCCGCCGGCGCCGCCGCCCTCGGCCAGGGCCGCCGCAATGTCCTCCAGATCAGGCGCGGCCCGGTACAGCGCAGCCGCCGCGCCCTCGTCGGCAAAGCCGCCCACCCCCTCCTCCTCCGCCGCGAGCCGCGCCTCGTCGCGCGACGCCACGCGCGCGCTCAGTGCCTTGAGGGTCTCCCTCTCGACCTCGGCGGCGGCGCGGACGCTGGCCGCGTCGTCCACCTCTGCCCCCACGCGCAGCAGCTCCGCGGCGGACGCCATGGCGCCGGCGGCGGCGGGGCCAAAGGCGTCGCCCGAGATTGCGGGCTCGTCCTCCAGGCCCGCGCCGCCGCGGACCTGGCTGAGCACCTCCTCATAGCTGGCGCAAAACGCGGGGGTGGCGTCCTGCTTTGGGAGAAGCGCGCGGGCAGAGAAGGGGCCGTGTGTTGGTGGCGTCGCAGTGTCATGGCCTCGGCGGGGGTTGGGGGGAAGGGAAACTGGATCAAATCGGGCGCGCGACCAACCCCGGCTGCTGGCGACCCTGCTGCTGGGGCGGCTGCGGGTGCTGCCAATGTCACAGCAGCCGGAGATATTCCGCCCATGCCCGTCGCTGAGCAGCCCGCCTTGGATCCTCACAACACCCCCAACGGCTGGATGTCCAGCCACTGCACGGGGGAGAGCGGGCCAGAACAGGTCTGATCAGATCAGACCGTGCGAGCTTCCTGGCAGCTTCCTCACCAGGTAAGGCTCCTCGTTAACGCTGGCCTCCTCCTCCCCAAGCACAAGCCCCTCGCCAATCGCCAGGGGCGTCGTGGGAACCTCCTGGAAGGCGGGGCGGGCGCAACGAGTGATAAATCTTAGTTAGCACAAGCACAAAGAATTAGTGCAAGCTCTGGTCACGACGCATGCTGTTCGCTGTCGAAACGTCAAAGCCACGCGGCAGGGCGAACCAGCAGCGTTGGTTTCCTGTGGTCTGCAGCTGAGCATGCCGCGGCCGCCGCCGCCACGTGGCGCGTCTTGCCCCATGCCCCGCTCTCACCGGCCTCGCGGCCGTGGAGGCGCCCAGCAGCGCCGCCACCAGCGCGGCCTTGGTGGTGTGCAGGGCGGGGTCATAGACGCCGCGCTCGGCCACCGCCTGCTGCAGCCACGCCTGCGTGTCACCACAGCATTGCATGTGTTTGCATGCTGCAGTGCATAGGACAAGAACGACCCCCAGCACGTCTGCCAATCCGTTGCAAGCATCACATATGAGGGTGACTGGCACGAGGGACTGACGTCCTGTTTCCCGTACATGGGATGCGCCCCTGTTGCCGGCCAGGCCGCGGCACCCCGCTCCCCCTCAGGCCCGCCATCGCAAGGGGAGTCGCACCTTGGACTGCCTGCCCAGGGCGCTCTCACTCATCGCCACATCAGCGCCGTCCGCAGCAGACACCGTCGGGCTGCGGCCGCGGCTGCGCTGCCGAGCCGGTGCGGGCGCGGGCGCGGCCGCGCCGTCGGCAGGGTCCATGGCGGCGCTCTTGCGGCTGCTGCGGCGCGCGCGCTGCTTGGGGGCCACCGCCTCCTCAACGGCGGCCACGGCGGCGGGCTCCGGCTCAATCGCTGCGGTCTTGCGGCTCTGGCGGCGGGCGCGCTTGGCAGGTGTGACGGGCGCGTCCGGCGCGGCCTCGGCTGGGCCCAGCGCCGCCGTGGATGTGGCCGGCGCGGCAGGCGCGGACTCCTCGACCACTGCAGAGACGCGGCGCGACGTACGGCGCGCGCGGCGCGCGGGCGCCTCCGTTGGCGGCGCCGCGGTGGTTGCGGCTGGGGCTGGCTCAGGCAGCGGGTCGGCCGACGCCGTGGCCTTGCGAGAGGTGCGGCGCTGGCGGCGCTGCTTGACGTCCGCGGCGGGCGCGGCATCCAAGACTCCAGGCGCTGAGGGGCCCAGGGCGCTGGCCTGCAGGCGGCGGCGCACAGGGGGCAGCAGGAGCCCAACAGAGTTGCTAATTAGAGCCTCAATTTTACACTCACCATGCGGGTCACAGGTTCCGCCTGGGCTCAATGAGACGTGCAACCTCTGACATGGTTCGGGCTGCAGGTGCGGTGAGCAGGGGGCATCGCAGGGGGGCCCCCCAAATGGCGGCACGCACCTGGTCAAGCAGATCGCCCAGCAGGCGGTCCACCACCTCAGCCTTGGTGCCGCGCTTTGCAACGCCGTGGCGCAGAGCCAGGTCGTCCAGCTCAACCTGTTGACACAGAGGCACAGGAAAAGCCGGAGCGGTGAGGCAGGCGGGGGCGCGCAGCGGGACGATTTGGCGGCGGCGATGTGGCGCCCGGGTGACGCTGGGTAGCTGGCGGCCAGCGGCGGCGCGGCGCACATGCGTCCTGACGCGCTGGGAAGCTATAAGACTGCACCTTGGGCATCTTCAAGAGGTCGTCACGAGCCGGGAGGCCCGCTGCAGGCGCGTCCAGCTGATCATCCCGGATGCCTGACTCGAGATGTTCGCTTTTCTTGGCGCCCTGCGACCTGGCCCTTACCACCCACAGGACACGGCGTCCCTGCGAGTGCCCGATGCATAAAAGCTGGGGTGAGCGCGTTGGTCCCGCGTGCGATATTGCCAGCAGCACATGGTGACTGGCTGGTCCACAGCGCGCCACCCCCCTTCCACGGCCTTATCAGGCTGTAAATGACGCACCACGATCCGACGGGCCCCGATGGGCACGCATGGCCCTTTCTTGCAGAGCAGCAGCATCGGCGATCTGGGATGATCTGCGTCGTTGTTAGTGAGAATCTGATGGCTTTTTTGCGTGGTTATCTATGAATGTTTGACTGACGCGATGGCTGTTGGAGCGCGTTGTTTGAGACGCAACTCGTGACTTTGAACGAAGGCGGCAACTTTTCAAAACTGCCATTCTCAAAGGCTAGTATAATATCATGAATTCATGATGACAGGCTTTGAAATCGCCACTCGTGTGGGATGCCTTTGTGCAAGCCAGTTCCTGGGCGCACACAACACAACACAATACAGTCCATGCATGAGTCCAGGTGCGGACAAGCATTTCACGCTTTCCACCTTGCAAACCAGCCTCGCAGCATGGGCATCTGCGTCGTAAAACCATGCGGTACACGCATATACCTACTCAACAAGCGCACTGGGCTGCTCAGCGTATCGTACTGGCACGGCGCAGCTCGCACCACCTGCATCAGGCACACGTGACGCTGAACCCCTGCGCGTCCTTGAAGAAAGCTGCCAGGGCTGACGCCAGCGCCACATCGTCGTCCTGTGACGAGGGTGCAAGTGCGCCTGAGGGAAGACGGTTGACCCCGTCTTGCCCGGCTCCGAAAGCTCATCTAGCTGCAAGGAAAGCTCATCCAGATGCTCCACTTCTTGATGCTGCCAATCACATCCAGATGGACCTGGCGACCCGTTGCCGCAACGTTGATCAAGAAGCCTTCATATGCGCCCATGTTGCTACATCTGAGTTCCGTACAGCCAGCCTTGAATACGCCGTGCTGCCGCTCCCTCACCCGCGGGATGACGCTCTCTGAATGACAAAAGCCCCAGTGGCGGGGAGGGGGGTCAACATCATTGACCTGTTGTGCACATCGCCTCAATGCCCTAGCTCAAATTTTGTAGGTGCTGGCTGCCAAAGCTTCTTGACCCCTCCGCCACAGTGTGCACGAACCTGTCAAGTACAGAGTGTGGTTGGGGTCTTGTTGGGTGCCTGCACAGGTTGAACGTCTTGAAGCAAACCACTCTGCCACACTGTTGTACGGGGTATGTTATGTTGTGTTGTCATCAACATCTTTGATACCAGATCTTGCGCACTTAAAATGATCAAACTGTGACAAGTTTGTGATCTGCACGACGGTGCTTCACACGATCAATTTCCAGCAAGCAGCGGATTGTGATATTCAACCGTGCACAACCATGTCGGTATGGACGCTGCGCTGCCGCGGCCCCAGTGGCCAGGCGACGCTGGGTGGCCTCAGCGGCGAAACCACTGTAGCTGGGCTCCAGGCGCTGCTCGAGGAGAGGACAGGCGTGCCCGCAGCTCGGCAGGAAGTGCTTTCCGGTTTCCCACCAAAGGCCTTGAAGGTGTGCTGCAAGGGCAGGTTACATACTGTACATGCAGCAACACGGGCTGCAGCTCGGGTGCACTGGTCCGGCCAATGCGCTCTGGTAACTAGGACACAGTCTGCAGCATCGTGCGCTCGCGCCCTTACAGTCAGCAGCTCCCGCTCACTCAGCTGGACAAAGCTGTGTCTGGCGCCCCATCGCCAATCATTAGCATCGCAGCTTAGTGCTCGCCAGCTGGCCCACATGCTTTTGACTGTCTGGCGACGCACGTTTGACCGCCTTGCAACCCATGCCGCCGCTTGCGCTATAGTTGAGTGACCCCCAGGCCACCCTGGCTGCAGTGGGCGTCGTCAATGGAGACACGTTGACAGTCAGGGAGTCGGCTGCAGCTGCTGCTGCTGCACCGACTGCGGCAGCCCAGCCCCAAGGTGGATCAGCCGGGCCTGGCGCCTTAGCTGGCGGCGACTTTGCAGGCGGGCTCGGTTTTGCAGGGCTCAATGGGGTCGATCACCTGGTGAGTGGTGGCGGGAATGCCCTCCTCCAGCTACACGCTCTGAGTTTGAGACACACCTGCAGCGCCTGTGGTTTTTGCCTTAGCCTTTGCTCAGGCGGCCATGGATACCGGCTTCCCCCCGCTGTTTTATTGCACGCTCCTCCATCCGGCGGGCCGTCTTCCCTTGGCCGCATTCGCGGCCCCCCTTCACAGGATGACGATGCGGCGCTGGCTGCGGCCCTGGCAGCTTCCTTGGAGGAGGCGCAGCCGTCGGCAGCCGCCCCACCACCCACAGCAGCAGCGGCGTCCGCGGCCGCTGCGGCCGCCGCAGCGG